TTCGAAGCCACATTCGGGCAGTTTCGAAGCCACATTCGGGCAGCATACCCACGATACCCTCCTTTGGCCGCCAGCAATGCGTCTCCTCCCCTCATCACACCCTGCAAACGGCACTGTGCGCGGAAAAACAGCCGAAAAAAGACGCCGCCGTCCGCAAGTCCCCCCAAAAAAGGTCGTGGTTTCGGCCAGAGACGCGTCAGCAGCCATGACAGCCGCGACAGGGGCGAGGCGGAGGGGGGAGGGAGGGAGGGGGGGGGAGAGAGAGGGCGTGGGTGCCAGAGAGCAGGGGGCGGACACACACTTCTCTGTTCGACCACACCATGCTCACTGCGGCACGAGCGGTGTGTGTGAGCATGCGGAGGGCTGTGGCGCCTCTTCTCCCTGCGGTGGTCCCCATGGCCGTCCCGCTCCGCGGCCTGGTCACCACCCCTCCCGTCGCCGCCCGCAAGCGCAAGGCCGCCGGCCGCCCCGGATCGGTATGAGATGGGGGGAGGGGATGGGGGGGGGAGGGGGGGAGGGGGCAGGGGAGGGAGGGGACTCACGGGGCGAGAGGATGATGATGGTGGCGGTGATGGTGCGGCTGGTGGTGGCGGTGATGGTGCGGCTGGTGGTGGCGGTGATGGTGCGGCTGGTGGTGGCGGTGATGGCGGTAATAGCTGGAAGAAGCCATCAAGATGGTTGAGCTGTCGTGCGGAAAGGGCTCGCTGACCAAACTTGGCGCGGCGGCGGCTGAGACGGCGCCGATCGACGTCATCCCGACCGGCTCGCTGACGCTTGATGCAGCGCTGGGCGTCGGCGGTCTGCCGCGTGGCCGAGTTGTGGAGATCTACGGGCCGGAGAGTTCAGGTAAGACGACACTGGCACTGTCTGTGGTGGCCGAGGCGCAGAAGATGGGCGGGACTTGCACGTTTGTGGACGCGGAGCACGCGCTCGACGTGGCGTACGCCAGCGCGCTGGGCGTCGATACTGCCGAGCTGTACGTCTCACAGCCCGACTCGGGCGAGCAGGCGTTGGAGATTGTGGATACGCTGGCCAAGTCGGGCGCTATGGACGTTATTGTCGTCGACTCGGTCGCTGCCCTTGTCCCGCGAGCCGAGCTCGAGGGCGAAATGGGCGACGCGCACGTCGGCCTGCAAGCCCGGCTCATGTCGCAGGCGCTGCGCAAGCTGACCGCAACTCTGGCCAACTCGTCGACGCTGCTGATCTTCATCAACCAGCTGCGGATGAAGATTGGCGTTCTTTTTGGCTCGCCCGAGGTCACCGCCGGCGGCGTCGGCCTCAAGTTCTACGCCAGTGTCCGGCTCGACATCCGCCGGACCGGCTCCATCAAGGTCGGCAACGACCTTGTCGGCAACACCACCCGGGTCAAGGTTGTCAAGAACAAAGTCGCTCCGCCGTTCAAGGAGGCCCACTTTGACATCGAGTTTGGGCGTGGCATTGGCCGTGTCGGCGAAATCATCGACCTCTCGGTCAACCACGGCCTCGTCGAGCGCGCCGGCGCCTGGTACACCTACCCGCGGCCAGGCGATGACGAACCGGTCCGTCTCGGCCAAGGCCGTGAAAACGTCAAGGCCTACCTCGAGGATCACCCCGAGCTTGTCGATGAGCTCCACACTGCGCTCCGCGCTGTCATGATCCACCCGGCCGCCGCGCCTACCCCCGCCACCGACACGCCGACCGCCGTCGGCAGCGAAGCAGACGCCTAAACCGATACCTATGTATCCATGCTACCCAAGCTAGAGCCACCAGCACAACCCCCCCCCCATTGCTCGCCATCCTTGCAATCCGATAACCTTCTTCATCCCCTCCCCTCCGCCCTGGGCAGCTCTGCCGGCTGCACGCTCTTATGAGCGGCCTTTTCTCGGCACACTTTTCTCACTCGCCAAACCGCAAGTCATGCGCCCGACGACCGTCCTCACGGCGACACTCGCTGTTGCACTCCTTGCCACGGCTGCGTGGGGCGCCACCACCGCGCCTCCCCCGCAGACCAACCTCCGCCCCACCATTGGCATTCTCTCGCAGCCGACCTTTGGCACCCTCGCCAACTGGGGTACGTCAGCCACGCCTTCCCCTCCCCCCCCTTCCCCCCTCCCCCCCCCTCCCCCCCCCCCTTTCGCCGCTTGTGACACTCCTGTGCTGATCGTGATCACAGCGAGTGATCACCATTGTGATCATCATCATGGTGATGGCCGTTGTGGTCAGGCACGCCACGGCCCACCCACAGGGCATGACATGGTGATGTCTGTGATGGTGATGTGTGTGATGGTGATGGCCATCGTATGTGTGGTGATGGTCTCGCCCATGGTGATGGCCATCGTATGTGTGGTGATAGCCATGCCCATGGTGATGGCCATCGTATGTGTGGTGATGGTCTCGCCCATGGTGATGGCCATCGTATGTGTGGTGTTGCAAATCAATATTGATAGTCATCATCATGGTGATGGCCGTTGTGGTCAGGCACGCCACGGCCCACCCACAGGGCATGACATGGTGATGTCTGTGATGGTGATGTGTGTGATGGTGATGGCCATCGTATGTGTGGTGATGGTCTCGCCCATGGTGATGGCCATCGTATGTGTGGTGATAGCCATGCCCATGGTGATGGCCATCGTATGTGTGGTGATGGTCTCGCCCATGGTGATGGCCATCGTATGTGTGGTGATGGTCACGCCCATGGTGATGGCCATCGTATGTGTGGTGATAGCCATGCGCATCATATGATGACGTCCACACTCATCCCCTCCCTCCCTCCCCCCCTTCCACCCACCCACAGGCAAGCAGTACATCGCAGCATCGTACATCAAGTACGTGGAGGGCGCCGGAGCGCAGGCGGTGCCGATCCGGTACGACCTTCCCGCTGAGGAGATCACCGAGCTGTTCCGCTCGGTCAACGGCCTGCTCCTCCCCGGTGGCGGCGTTGAGCTCGGCGACAACAAGTACACCCAGACTCTGTTCCAGCTCCTCGACCTGGCGGTGGCGGCCAACAAGGCCGGCGACTTCTTCCCGGTCCACGGCACCTGCTTCGGCTTCCAGGAGATCGCCATGTACGTGGCCAACGACCTCAACCTGCTGATCAACACCGACTCGGAGAACCTGACCCTCCCGCTCGAGTTTACTCACGCTGCGGCGTCGTCGGCTATGTTCGGCGATGCGCCGGCGGAGATCATGGACATTCTCGCCAAGCAGCCGGTGACCATGAACAACCACCACTATTCGCTCTCGCCGGCCGGCTTTGCTGCCTCGTCCAACCTCACAGCCTTCTTCAACGTCCTCTCCACCAACGTCGACCGCAACGGCATTGAGTTCATCTCCACCATGGAGGCCAAGGACATGCCCATCACCGCCACCCAGTGGCACCCGGAGAAGCCGCTCTACGAGTGGGACCCGGTCGAGGTCATCAACCACTCGTCCGACGCGGTCAAGGCCATGCAGTTTACCGCGCAGGCCTTTGTCTCCAATTCGCGCTCCAACTCGCACACCTTTGCCTCGCAGACCGCCGAGAACAAGGCTCTCATCTATAACTTCAATCCGGTCTACACCGAGCAGGCTGTCAACTCGTTTGATCAGTGCTACTTTTGGTGAGCGCACTGCCGCTGACCTTGCGAAAAAGGGGGTAAACAAGCGTGCGTGTTTTACGACTGGTACAGTTCGGCATCCTCGTCGTCGTCGGCGTCCTCGACCGCCCCGTCCTGCGGCGGCGCGTCGTCGTCGGCGTCATTGTCGGCGTTGGGCGCGGCTTCGGCGTCCGCGTCAGCCGCCGGCGCCTCGGCCGGCTGCATCTCCATCAGCGACGCCTGGATGGCGGCCTGAAGCTCGGCGTCCTCGCCCGAGCCAAAGTCGCCGGCGGCAAAGGGCGAGGCGGCAAAGGCGTCGGCGCCAGGGCCCGGCCCAGCGCCCGGCGCTGCACCGCCCGATGCACCCAGCGCCGACGAGAGCGCCGAGCGGAAGGCCGAGTCCATGTTGCCGCCGCCACCGCCACTGCCCGACGACGCAGTCCGGGTCGGCGGACGCGGCCCACCAGCACCACCGGCGCGCGCGGCCTGCGCCTCCATCATCAGCCGCTGCAGCTGGGCCCGCTGCGCCGGAGTGGCGGTGCCGGTGGCTGCGGCCGTGAGCAGCGAGCGGACCGAGTCCTCGTCCATGCCGCCGAGGCCGTCCGCGGCCGGGCCTGTGGCCGCCGATGGGTTGGCCAGCACCTCGTTGGCCCGCTTGAACAGGTCCTCGTCGTCTTCGGCCTTGGGCTCCTGCATCCAGAACAGCATTTTGCGGCCCGACGAGAAGCGGAGCAGGTACACCCGCCCCGTCGTGCACGCCTCGATCTTGGAGAACGACGCGTCGCCCGGGAAGATGATCAGATCGTCCACCGTCGTGTTCAGCTCACGGTTCGTCCAGCGCAGGTGCAGGATCGAGTCTTCGTCCATCACCAGCTCGACCTTGCCCTTGGCCGCCACGGGCGTCACCACCCGTCCGTCGTACTCGCACTTGCCCGCGCGGAACGACACCAGCGCGCCATCCGACGCCTCTTGCTGCACCCACCCAGAGTTGGCCCAACAGTGTCGTCCCCAATGATATATGACCATCCCCGCCATTGATCGTTCCCGGCATCGATCGTTACCGGCATTGATGGTCCCCGTCCCGTCATCAACCATTGTCCCAACCATCATGTCGTGCCATTGTTCGTTCCATCGTTCGTTAATCGTTGCCACCGATTCCCTTCCATTCCATGCGCCTTGCTCTCCCCACCCCCCCCACCCCCAGCCATTCCCGCCCACGCCCATCCCCATCCCACCAAGGAACACACCAGCCATCCCCCTTCCCCATCCCCCCTCCCGTCCCCTTTCCCCCTCTCTCCCCCTCCCCTCCCCCCCCCCTACACAGGTCGCACAGGTCGCACAGGTCGCACAGGTCGCACAGGTCGCACAGGTCGCACAGGTCGCACACCCGCCCACCCGCCCACCCGCCCACCCACCCAGCCACCCAGCCACCCACCCTGCCACCCACCCCGGCTCATATACATACCTCAGTCCTCCGTGCAGCACCCGCTTCAAACAGATTCACAGCAGACATATGGTGGATATGTATGGATATGTGTGTGTGTGTGAGGTTGGGGGGGGGGGGAGTGCAGTGTGGTGGTGGTGGTGGTTGTGGGGTTGTGGTGGGGGGTGGGGGGGGGTGGGGTTGTGGTTGTGGTGCGTGTCTGTGTTGCCATCCGTTGGCAGCAAGGGGGGGGATGGGGGGGATGGTGGTGACCATCACAATGACCATGATAACGATCATGACCACCATGATGACCATCATAACAATCATGATCACCATGATGACCATCATAACAATCATGATCACCATGATGACCATCATAACAATCATGATCACCATGATGACCATCATAACAATGATGACCACCATGATGACCATGATAACAATCATGACCACCGTAGCGACCATCACATTGCCATTCATGATGACAGTCATGGTCGCATCCGTCGTGGCCATCACACAGTAGTAGTGGCTCTCTCTCTCTCTCTCTAATCCATCACCTCCGCCGATCGCTGTGTTCAATACCATCCGCCGATCGCTGAAGCGTGCGACTACGCCGCGTTCGCTCGCCGATGCTCCTTGATGGCGGTGCACAACCAGCTGAAGCCGTCGTCGATGCCCTCGCCGCGCGTCGCCACGCACGGCTGGATGTAGTTGTCATTCTTCACCTCGCCAAGCCCCAGATCGGCAGACAACGCCGACGCAGTCTTGGCCGCAGGCAGATCCTGTTTGTTGGCGAGGATAAGGACCGGGACGTGCGCCAGCTCTGGCTCGCCCAGCATCGATTCGAGCTCCTTGCGCGCCATCGCCATCCTGCTCTCATCGGCAGAGTCCACCACAAACACCAGCGCGTCTGCGCCCTCGATGTACCGCTTCCAGAGCTTGCGGATCGTGTATTGCCCGCCCATGTCCCACAACTGGAGCGTGAGCCCGCTGATCTTGACGCTGTCCACCTGAAAGCCGACCGTCGGAATCGACGGCATCACCTCGCCTGACTTGAGCCACTGGTACAGTGTCGTCTTGCCTGCCCCGTCGAGCCCGATCATCACAATCCGCGCCTCTGTCCCGGCAAACATCTCGTACACTGCCTTGAACGTCTTCGAAATAGCCAATCCCATGTCTTGCTCAAACGGCTCGCCTCTGATCGCTATTGCCGCTTGCCCATCCGCCCCGCCTCCTCACCGCATTCCGTTTGGTTTTGTCGCCGCTGCCTTTAATTTTTCAGCCACCACGTCGACACCCTCGCCTGCCGTCCCATGGAAGTAATGAAGCTGACCATGGAAGCCGGCATCTCATCGGTGATCAGTTTTTGACTTGCATATTCAAAACCCGCCAGGTGCATAGTTGTCGGCGCCATCGTCATGGCCATCGCCACCACCATTGCCCTGGCCTTGCTGGTGGAGCATAAACTGCTCGGCGAGGGCAGCGGCCATGGCCTCGGCATCGGCAGCCTCGCCGCCGGCAGCTCCGGCACCGCCACCTTGAACAGCCTGCCACGGCATGAGCGAGCGGAGAAAGGCGAGCGCGGCGTTGCCATCCGTCAGATCCGGGTTGATGCCCACCTCGGAGGCTGCCGCCTCATCGACCTCGCCGGCCGGTGGGAACGGGTTGTACGCGCGGACGCCGGCTGCGAGCAGCTCGCGCGGGAGCATCCCAAGCACGTTGTCGTAGCCCGAGAGGGCCACATGCCGGCAAATCGACCGCGGCGGGCTGCCGACAAACGCAGCCTCCAGCGCCTCGGTGTTGGGCGCCGGCCCCTGCGCCCACTCGCTCACCACCCGCGCCAGCCAGCCCGTCACCGCAGGATCCGCCCACAACGACGACGCCCGCTCCACGTACAGCGTCTCCAGCATCAGCAGCGACGGCGCTGCAGGCCGCCCCGCAAAGCCCGGGTACGGATCGTAGCTCGCGCCCACTTTTCGCCCAGCACCACCGCCATGTGCGGAAACTTGTTGAGCGCAGCGAGCAGGGCCGCATCGGCGTCGGCCATGCTCGTGCTCGACGTGCCCGCCCCACCGCTCCCGGCTCCGCTGGCGAGCAGGAACCGCGCCAGCGCCAGCGAAACGCCCAGTTCGGCAGGTCCGCCAGGTTCTTCGCCTCCAGCGCAGCCTCGAGCGCAATAAACTGGTCGTACGAGCGCGACCGCAGCGCGTAGTAGTCGAGCATGAGCAAGACCGCGAGCGGGTCGTGCTCGAGATCGAGCTTCAGCAGCAGCTTGCACACCTCAAACGCCGTGCCTTGGCAGCCCTTGCGCGAGAGGTTGTCGATGTGCTTGAAGAGGACAAGAAACAGCCCGCGGTTGCTCCGCTCTGCGTACCGGATCCGCACGCTCTCCGAGGTCACGTCAAACGACGCTGGCCACGCAGCCTCCAGCCCGTACAGCGCCTGCTCGATGAGCGATGTCGCCTCGGCCACCTGGCCCGAGTGGTTGAGAATGTCTGCAAGCTGCAGCAGCGTGTCCACATGCCATGGGTTTCGCTGCGCGAGGTGCACAATCGAGTTGGGGTCCATCGACGCCGCAGCCTGGTAAAAGTGCGCCTGCGCAAGCTCGTACGCTGGCGATGCCACGTATCCGTACTCGTCGAGCCCGTCTGCAAGCCGCATGTACTCGAGCGCGAGGCCCGAGTCGAGCTCGACCGGCCAGTCCTCGTCGAGGCCGACAAACAGCGACTTCTTCGCCCGTCGCTGCCGCCGCCCGCCGCGCCCGCGCCCGCCGCGACGCCGCCCGAACCGCGCCGCCTCGGCAGCCTTGTTTTCCCGCCGCGTCTTGGCCGCCGCCTTGATGGCCTCAGCGCCAAAGATCCGCCTCAGCTCGCCGTCCACGTTCAGCCGCCCTCCATTCACCGCCACCGCCGCCCGATACGCAGCCTCTTCCGGCGCAACCTCTGCCTGCGCCTGCCGAGCCCGCTGCACATCACCATACACATCGCCATGCTTCTTGGCCACCTCGGCCAGCGCCTCATCCACCGCAGCCACACCACCCGCAGGCCCCACACGTTTCCTCTCCGCCTGCATCGCACTCTTGGTCCGCTTGCTGCTCTTGCCGCCCTTGCCCTTGCCCTTGCCCTTGCCCCTGGTCCTGCCCTTGCCCCTGTCCGTGCTCTTGCCCTTGCCGTCCGACCAGCTCCCATCCGACGCGATGTCATCGCTCTCTGCCCCGTCACCATGACCATGACCAAGACCATGACCATGACCATGATCAACATCGCCATGACCATCACCATCGCCATCGCCAGAAAGTGACAGAGTCGTCGATGACCACGAGTCGGACCATGACCAATGCGCAGGAGGCTCACCCGAAGGCACCTCGCGGACCGAGTCCAACAGCTCCTTGTAGTACAGCGACTCATGCTCGGCACGCTCCAGCGTATGCGTAGACAACATGCTCCTCCACACGACCTGCTCCCTCTCTTTCTCTCGTCTCTCTCTGCCCTCGACACAGCAGAGTGTGGTGTGCCGTCGCCTCTCTCTCTCTCTCTCCGTCTCGCCGTCTCTCTCTCTCTCTCGCTCATCTTCCTCGTCGCTCTCTCCTTGCTCTCCGCTCGTCGGATCATTGCGCCGATGCCTTTCGAAGCGAGTCGCCGTAGTCCCGGTGGTGCGGAGGTGATGGTGGGGGGTTTTCAATTTTTTATTGCCTGCCCCGCTCCATCATCTTCCTCCTCCCTCTCTCCCTCCTCCCATTCCCCCCTCCCTCTCTCCCTCCTCCCATTCCCCCCTCCCTCTCCCCTCCCCCCCCTCTCCCCCTCTTTTTCCTTCTTGTTTCAACGCCATTTCTCAGCTCGTACGGTTCGGTAGAGCGGTTGCCGCAACGAAATATTTCAAATTTTGCATTCCCGCTGCCTGTCACTGACTCCTTCTTCATCGTGTGCCACTCTGCAGTTCCAAGGACTCAACCATGTCCTACCAACATGATTTCTACTGCTCAGTGCCTGTACTACTTCCTTCCATTGTGCTCTTCCTCGAGACCACCACAGCTTGAGTGCCATCTGCGCAGCGGTGACTACTTGTCACTCGCCATCCACCGAGAAAAATTATCGCCTTGCGCCGCTGTCGGTAAACGCACCCATTTCGCCGCACGCCTTTCCTTGCAGCACGGCCTGCCTGGCACGCACACGGTTCGGCGCCTTCCCCACTCGTCGCAAGCACGTCAAAAGCGTCGACTAAAGCACCACAAGCGTCACGTAGCAATTGCGCCTACCTGGTCAGCCACTTTGCTCCACGCTCAGAGCCGCCCTTCATGCACCCTGTGGCGGACTCTGTGGCGAGGCGGACAGCAGTTGCTGCTGCCGTGCTCGCCCTCCTCTCAGCTTTTTCTCACGCTCGCTGCAACGTCGACTATCGGCTGCCAAACGCTGTCACCTTGTCCTCCACCTCACAGCCGTACGGAACGGCTGCAGCTGTCTTTGATGCGAGCAATGCATACCTGGATGTGGCCTTTGGTGACTTTTCACCAACGGCATCTACGTGGTGACGAGGACGGCGAGCGGAGGTTGGAACAGTCCTGTGCTTATCGATGACTCGTTTGCCACACCGCGGCGTTTGGCGGCCGGGGATGTCGATGGTGATGGCTCGCCTGATCTCGTGGTTCCCTTCCGTGACAGCAACACCCTTGTCCTCTACAGGAACATCGGCAACGATGCCACCTTTCCCTCCTTTGGTCCGCTCGAGGGTGTGTTCTTTGGCGATGGCGCCGAGCCGTACTCGGTGGCCATCGGTGACATCAACGGCGACTCGTTCGTTGACGTCGTCTACACGCTGGAGCGCTTTAATCTTGTCGGCGCTTTCATGGGCACAGGCCTGGGCTCGTTGGCTTCGGTCCCAGTCAACCTCACCGACGACCTTGTTTTCCGCCCGCTTCAGGCTGTCGACATTGTCATTGCCGACATGGACCTCGATGGTGTCAACGATGTGCTCTACTCTGAGGGCTTCTCCGACCGCATCGTCGTCATTGCCGGCCGGGCAGACCTCGCCACCAACCTTCCCACCGCAGCGGCGGTTGTCGACGACTCGGCCGACACCCCGTTCTCGCTCGCGGTCGGTGACGTCGACAAGAACGGCCTGCTCGACGTAGTCAGTACCCTCTTTGTCGACGACCGCGTCGCACTCTACTACAACCGCGGCATGCTCACCTTTTCACCGCGAGTCATCATCGCCTCCGAGATTGACGCTCCGCTCAGCTCAGCGCTGGTAGACCTCAACGGTGACTCGTGGCTCGACGTCGTCTTTTCCGCCTCCAACTCGGATTTCGTCCGCTGGATCCCGGGCGACGGATCGGGAACATACACTGCCTCCCCGCAGCGGATCGATGACGCACTCGACGGTGCACGCGGCCTCATTGCCGAAGACTTTGACGGCGACGGCCGCATTGATGTCGTCGCCGCGGGCTTTTTTGACGGCAACCTCAAGCTGTACCATTTTAACGACTCGGCCTCGCCCTTCCCCGAAGGCCGGCGGTTGATCTCCAACACCGCCAATGGCGCCCGCGGCATCGACGCTGCAGACTTTAATGGTGATGGTTTTACCGACATCGTCTCAGCCTCGGCCTTTGACCACTCGATTACCGTCTACGTCGGCGACGGGTCGGGCTTTCACCTTGGCAACGACGTCGTTGTTACCTCGACCTTTTCCGGCTCCGAGTCGGCCGTTGCTGGCGACTACAACAACGACGGCTGGGTCGACGTCGCCGGCTGTGCCGGTATCAGCGGGCTCGTTGCCTGGTGGCCCAACGTCGGCGCCGGTACGTGGGCCGCCACGCCTGTCTCGGTCGGCACCTGCGCCGGGGCCATGAAGATGACCGGCGGCGACTTTAACAACGACGGCTTGCCCGACCTGGTCGTTGGCTGCCCCGATGAGGCCTCGCCTTCGATCAAGGTCTTCCTCAACGTCAACAACGGCGCTAGCTGGACCGAAATCGTGGTATTTTCCGTCGCCTCGTCCATCGCCAACATGGACACCGCCGTCGGCGATGTCGACAACGACGGCTTTGTCGACGTGCTCTTTGTGGCCTCTTCGGTGAGGCTCGTCGGCTGGGCGCGTAACAACGGCGGGACCGGGTTCGACCCACCGCTGGCCGTCGACGTCCTCAGCACCGGTTTTACCGTCTCTGCTACGCTGTGCGACGTCGACTCGGACGGAGACCTCGATGTCATCTCGAGCGTCTCCAACGGCCCGAGCTCGGCCATCACTGTCTACCACCAGACAACCCCAGGCACGTTTGAGAGCGTGCCGACAGACCTCGGCGGCTCGTTCGACCTTCCGTACTCTGTGGCGTGCGCCGACGCGTCGGGCGACGGTCGGCCAGACATTGCTGTCGCCTCGTACTCGACCGACGAGATCTCGTGGTTCCGCAACCGTGGCGACGGCTCGTTCTTTGGACAGGACGTGCTGACGACGTTCAATGAGGGCGCGTACCGAGTCAAGATCATTGACGTCAACAACGACGGCTTCAACGATGTGCTCTGTGCCGGCAATGAGGACTCCACCATCGAGGCCTTTGTCCACCGCCCGGTGGTGACCGGCGAGGCCGTCCGCGCCTCGCTTCCGCAGCTCGCGCCGGGCGTCCCATACTCGCTGCACCACGTCCACTACGCGCTCAACACGGCGTCGCGGTGCGTGGCGCAGCGGATCGAGCTCCCGGCGGATGTGACGGTAGGCCAGTGCTCGCCGACGAGCCACTACGTGGTGCCTGCCGACGTGGTGTGGACGGTGGCCGGCCCACCAGGCGCTGCGCCAGCCAGCCGGCCGCGACTCGATTGCGGTACCGCTGGCGGCGTGTTGTTTGAAGTCACGGCGAGTGGCTCTCTGACACTCGCAGATCTGACGCTCCGCGGAGCGAGCGTCGGCTCGGCGGCGTCGGCTGTGACTGGGCTGCGGGTTGCCGGCTCGCGGGCGCGGCTCACGCTCGTCAACGCCACGGTCGAGGGCTTTTCGTCGGCGCAGGCGACCGAGCTGCAGTTTTTCTCGGGCCTTGGCGGCGCGGTGTCTGTGCTCGACGGCGGCACGCTGACGGCGAGGGCGACGACGTTCTCGGGCAACACGGCCAAGTCGCTCGGAGGCGCGGTGGCGCTCATCTCTGCGGGCGCTTCAGCGACTTTGACTGATGTGGTGCTGGAGAACAATGTGGCTTTGGCGACCGGTGGCGGCGCGGTGGCGGTCCTCGCTCCTGATGCGGTGCTGGCCTTTGGGGGCAACTCGAGGGTGGTTGGCAACTCTGCGCTTTCTGGCAGTGGCGGCGGGGTGCTGGTGGCCAATGAGGCGGCGCGCGCATCGGTGACGGTGGTTGGCACCGAGATGTCGGGCAACACGGCCGGGGTGGCCGGCGGAGGGCTGGCCGCGTTTGCCGCGGCCGGCACGGGCGTGACCATCGGCGCAGGAACGATTGTGACGGGCAACTCGGCCGGAGCCGGCGGCGGAGTGGCGGCGCTGGCCGACTCGTACCTGCTGCCACGGACGACGCCACTGGCGGCGTCAGCTCTGGCACGAGCGCCAAGCGTTCCGCTGCTGGCTTCGCCGGTGGTGACCTTTGGCGCCGGCTCGACGCTTGGGAGCAACACGGCGGCGTACGGTGGAGCCTTTTTCGTGTGCAAGGCCAAAATCGATGCGTCGGCAGCTGGGCTGAGCGGCGGAAGCAGCGCAAGCATCGGAGGCGGCCACGTGTTTGTGTGTCTCGACTCGAGCGGGAGCGCGCCGGTGCAGGGCACATGGCTTGTTGACGTGAGCGGCGGGGCAGGTGCCGGCGCGGCGGGCGGGTACGGGCCGGCGCGGGCGAGTCCGCCGGCTGCGATCAGCTTGGAGCCTGCGGTGCGGGAAGCAGTCTCGGGGCTTGCGCTCGGCTCGGGCGCGGTGCAGGCGAGCGATGGATACGGGCAGCTTGTGCGTGATGGGCGGCTGGTGCTGCGTGTGCTTGATCCTGCGCTCGCAGGAGTGGCGGTGTCCGGGATGGAGCTCGGGGTTGTGTTTTCGGCAGCAACAGGCGAGGCGTCTGTGGCGCTGCTTGCGGCACTGGGCGCGGCGGAACAGCTGCCTGCGAGCGTCACACTGACGCTTGCCATCTCTGCGCCTGTGGGCACGCCTGCGGCGTCGACAGCGCTGCAGCTCGAGTTGGGGCTCTGCCCACCAGGCTTTGGAGCCAACGGGCTCGCGCCACTTGCAGACCAGTATCTGGTGTGCTCAGTGTGTGACGAGGGGTCATACTCGCCCGAGGCGTCCGATGCGCCGTGCGTGGCTGTGCCAGCATGCCCGGCGCGGTCGCTGCGGCGGGCGGCGCCGAACGCGACGGGGCTGGAGTCGTGCGAGTGCGAGGCCGGATCGTGGTCGCCCGAGGTCGAGCTGACGCGTCCGTGCACGCCGTGCCCTCTGGGCGGGATCTGCGCCGGCGGGCGCGCGACGCCTGTGGCGGCGCCCGGGTTTGTGCCCGGGCCGGACGCGGTGGACCAGTTCCTCTCGTGCCCGACAGCCGAGGCGTGTACCGGCGGTGGGCAGTGCGCGGCAGGATACACGACGCGGCTGTGCGCGAGCTGCGCGTCGGGCTACTATCGGCTGGGAACCAAGTGCCGCAAATGCAACAACGCGCGGCAGGGCCTCCTGGTGACGCTCATTGTGATACTTGTTCTTGTTGTTCTCGGTGCGCTGCTCGGGTTCAACCTCGCCGAGTCGCTGACGTACAAGTTTGTGGCGGCGATGATTGGGCTCAACGCACTGCAGATCTGCGCCATGTACGGCGAGCTGGACCTGGACTGGGGCGCTTTCGGGCGGGCGTTTTTCAACGTGGCGTCGAGCCTCAACCTCAACATGGAGCTGACGTCGCCCGAGTGCGCGGCGGCCAAGGGCATTGACATTTGGGTGCTCAAGCTTGTGCTCACGCTTTTGCTGCCTGTGCTTGCGGCGGGCGGGCTTGCGCTGATTGCCGGCGGCGTGTTCTACCCACTCATTGTGGTGGACGCGCCGTGGTTTGGCAGCAAGTCTGTGAGTCTCTTGGTGTCTGCGCTATGGCGGACGCTGTTCCAGGTCATGGTCCTGCTGTATCTGCCGCTTGTGGACGCGTCGTTCTCTGTGTTTGGATGCGGGCGTGACGAGGCCGGGCGGTGGTATGTTGCGGCGGATCCTTCGCGGAGCTGCTACAATGCGGCGTGGTGGGGCCTGTTCCCGATTGGGCTCTTGGGCATTGCCAGTTATGCGGTGGCGGTGCCTGTGGCGACAGTGATGCTGCTGCGGGCACGGCGGAAGGCACTCGACGAGGTGGCGTACGTGCTCAAGTACGGGTTCCTTGTGGCGCGGTTTGTGGACGAGTGCTGGTGGTACGAGGCGGCGATCATGGGGCGCAAGCTTGCGGTGGTAGTGGCCATGACCTTTATGTTCTCTGCTGACGGCAAGGCGTCTGCTGGCGTTGTGGTTCTCATTCTCTCGCTCATCCAGCTTGCGGTGACCAAGCCGTACCGTTCTGCGTTGCACAACGTGGTGGCGATTGTGGCGCTGACAGCGGTGACGCTTGTTCTCGAGTCGGGCACCTTTGACGACAAAGGCCTTCGGCAGACTGGCGTCAATCTCGGCATCGTGGTCATCATCGGCGTCATTCTTGTTGGCAACGGGCTCGACTTTTGGCGGCTGACCCGCGACGAGAAGGATGTCGACCAAGAGATGGTCATGGCGGAGGAGAGCGGCGATGAGATGATGATGACGTCGATGGGCGATGTGCGGGTGGAGGACAAGCTCGATTCGGTGTGCGAGCTGCAGTCTGCGGCAATGGCGCAGCAGGCCTCACTCGGCTTTTCGTCCAACGGCATGACATCGACGGCGATGCTGGACACGGCCAACGACTCGCTGGCAGCGGTGCCGACGCCGACGGCGCTCAACTCGAGCATGCCGACGATGGTGTACTCGGCGTCGTCGTCCGAGTTTACCCCCAACGGGCTCGCGTCGAGGTCGCAGCCTGTTGTGCCTGCGCCGCCCCCGTCGCCGATGTCACCCACCGCCGCTACGCCGGTGCCGCCGATACCACCTGCGCGGCCGCCGGCCAAGCCCGTGCGGCCAACCCGTGCGGCTGTACAGCCACCTGTGAGGCCTGCGCGACCGGCGGTGGCGCCCAAGCCAAACATAGGCAGCGTGGAGGAGATAGTGTAAAAGCATGCCAAGGGCGAGTGCCATCACTGGATGGAGCACTTTTTGTCGTCGTCAGCAGGAGCGACCGGCTTCTTGTCGCGGCCCCTTGCCGCCCGCTGCTTGGCCAGGAGCTCCTTCTCGAGAGCCAGGCCGGCCTTTTCCCTCGCACGGGCCTTGTAGTACATCTGCTCCGGAGTGAGGCCGGCGTCCGAGTCGTCGTCCGAGTCGTCGTCCGAGACATCGCTATCGTAGTCCGAGTACGAGATCGATGCCGAGTACGAGGCGCTTGACGACGAGTGCTGCTGCTGCTGCTCCTTCTTCTTCCTCTTCATGCGCTTCTCCTTGCGCCTCTTGTGGTTGCGCTTCCCCTTCCCGATCTGCGGCGGGCGAGCGCTCACTCCTGGCGATTGCAGGCGGCCGGCAGCATCCACGACGGGCAGGGCGTCCAGAGCGGTCAAAGCAGCATGTGGATCATGCGTAGCGACCTGCATATCCGGATGAGCAACCGGAGTGCGAGCATCTCCCGCAGCGGCAGCCTTGAGCCTCTCCAGCCTCTGAGCCATGGCGTAGGCACTGGCACGCTCATAGGCATCACCAGCCTCTTCATCGGCATGGATCTCATCAGCAATCTGCTCGAGAAGCGCATCGGCAGCTTGGTCATCGTCAGCTTCCAATGCCAGAACATCAGCATCAGCCCACGGTCGGCTACCACCACCACCACCACCATGTGCGCGAGGCAGAGGAGGACCACCGGCAAGAGCGGCAAAGCGAGCAGCGAGGTCATGGTCGGCATGATGAGCATTGTGTGAGAGTACGCCCTGTTCGAGAGCAACAGCCTCGGCGGTCTGGCGGAGGAGTCGTTCGACTTCGTCTTCGTCTGGGAGGGACATGAGGGAGGGTGATCATGATGGGGATGATTGTTGATGGTGGTGAGTGTGGTCATGGTGATCATGATGGGGATGATTGTTGATGGTGGTGAGTGTGGTCATGGTGATCATGATGGGGATGATTGTTGATGGTGGTGAGTGTGGTCATGGTGATCATGATGGGGATGATTGTTGATGGTGGTGAGTGTGGTCATGGTGATCATGATGGGGATGATTGTTGATGGTGGTGAGTGTGGTCATGGTGATCATGATGGGGATGATTGTTGATGGTGGTGAGTGTGGTCATGGTGATCATGATGGGGATGATTGCTGATGGTGGTGAGTGTGGTCATGGTGATCATGATGGGGATGATTGCTGATGGTGGTGAACATGATGATGGTGATCGCGCTCATGGTGACGATGATGGTGATCGTGCTCGTAATGGCCATGTTGGTGATCGTGCTCATGGTGTAGCCGCCATGGCCATGGCATCTTCGCCTCTGGCTGGTGCAGGAGAGGGAGAGTCCGAGACACACTTGTCTTGAGGCCCTCCTTTCCTCGTCCGATGTCATCAGGAGCTGTTCTTGAGGCATGTGTTGACTGTCCGGCATCTGCGCGAGCTGCCATCGCCGGCAGAGTCAACTCGATCGAGCTGTGCGCAGGGCTAGCCACGGGCGGGGTGACGCCGTCGCTGGGCCTGATCCGAGCCGTGGCGTGCATGGCGGCAGCGGCCACTCCGCCGGTCCCAATCACTGTTCTCGTTCGTCTCCGTGACGGCGATTTTGTCTACTCGCCCGACGACATCGCTGTCATGGTTGACGACATCGCCGCTATCGGCAGCCTCGCTGCCGATCTCCCTCCTGGCGCCATTGCCGGCGTCGCCATCGGCGCACTCGCTCCCGACGGCACCGCCGACCTAGTGGCCACTGCAGCCATGGCCAGGGCTGCCCAGGAAGCTGGTCTGGCCATCACCCTCCATCGCGCCTTTGACGCCGCCATCGATCCCGTGGCTGCCTACCTCGCCGTCGTCGATCATCTCGCCGGCGCCGTCTCCCGCGTCCTCACCTCGGGCGGGGCGGCGACGGCGGCAGCAGGCACAGACGCGCTGCACCAGCTCCTCGCCGGGCTTGCAAGCACCACGCACGGGCAGGCGGTGACGGTTGTCGCCGCGGCGGGGCTCTCGCCGACGTCCGCCTCAGGCGTCCTCGCAGCAGGCGCCCACGGCGTCCACGGCTCGTTCTCGACAATCGTCGTCCGAGCCGACGACGAGGCGGCGGTGGCAGGCGAGGCCATCGGCTTTGGTCGCGGGCATAGAGAGACCGATGCGGAGGTGGTGGCTGCTGTGGCAGACGTGATGGCCTTGTCGTAGGGGGATGGGCTGTGCGCATGGAGTCCTCGATCGCGCCTTCCGTAGCGACGATGGCCATGATGATGACTCTCACCATGATAACCATGATGACCATGATGGCGATGGCTATGATGATGATGACCATGATGACCATGATGGCGATGACTATGTTGACTCTCACCATGATAACCATGATGACCATGATGGCGATGGCTATGATGATGATGACCATGATGACCATGATGACCATGACTCTGACCATGACTCTGACCATGACTCTGACTCTGACTCTCACCATGCTAGCCATATCAGCCATGCTGACCCCCTTGGCCCCCCTCCCCCTCCCCCCGACCAATGCCCAAGTCAGGCACCGACCCCCCTCCCTCCCTCCCCCCTCCCCCCCCTCCCTCCCTCCCTGCCCCTCCCTCCCCTCACCGCGACAGAGGTTACACTCGTCTCGTCGCCGTGGTTGAGTCATGGCGGAGGGCAAGGAGGAGAAGCTATTCAAGGTACGGAAGGGGAAGGGGAGGAGGGGAGGGGGAGGGGTCGGTCGGTGTGTGTGTGTGGGT